CACACACGAGGAACAATTCAGGTGGAGGTGTCTTTTCGGGCCTCACCACAATGTGGATTCACCTGTTTATCAATTATCCGGCGCAGGCAGTAAGCAACGACTCAGGTTGCATTGGAATCGACGAGATTAGTACCGTCTGTTCTCCTATAACGCCGCGTGTAGTTTTTTATAATGCGAATTGGATTTCACGCGATGGATGTATTAGGGAACGTTTTTTTTTTTAATAACGAGATCGAGTAAACAGAACTAAGCCGCGCGAGTAGCAATAATCGGTCGTGCGGCTGCTTCGGCGTAGCATCGCACAAGGCAGTGAGATGTTGCTGGATGCTTCTAGATGCTACCCATGCGTCTCAGTCTTCGTTCAGCCTGCGCACGCATCTCACGTGTTCTCACGGACTGTGCTTTACCCTATATTATATATTACTTCTCATGCCAATTTTCCCATTTTTGAGGAACGCAACTACCGCATTATAGAACAGACTGCACATGGGAAAAAAACCGAGGCATGGGAGAGCGCGCAGAGGACGTTTTTAAGAACTGCGTCGTATCTGAAGCTCTCAGCACACGGCGTGCGGGGCCGTACACCGTGTGCTTACGGTTTGCACTTCCCCGCAAGCGGTTACACGTGCCACCGAGCCATCGGAGTTAGCCGCTGTGACAATGGGGGTGGAGGGGGGGCCGTGCCGCTGGTAACGGAGGTCTGCGCTGGAGCTCGGCCTCCTTTCAGCTGCATGGCAACGCTCCCCCCCTTCCTCCCCCTCTCCACCGTTCGTAATTTCAACATCGATGGAAAGAGCCCAGGAGGGCCGTGACTCCCGGGCTTCCACACCCATGCCCCGGCACACCCCTTCATTCCACACCCCCCCATCCACCCACTCACCCACTCTCGTTACTTTTGCCTTTGAATGTTTGCTCAATACAAGTGTTTGGGCAGCCCCATTTATTATTACTACTTTTGACCGAAGCACATTGCTATTTTAGTGACCACCACCTGAACATTAGTCACCATCTGCTGATTTGTTTTGTAAAAGTTTAATGTTATGCTGGCTGTAGAAAAGCCAAAGCTGTAATTTCCCAGTAATAATAATTGCCGGTTTTACCATTCCTGCCGGTAGTGGTAGTGGTGGTGGTGCGAGTTGGACAGAGGGCCCGATGCCCAGGCGCGCGTCCTTGAAACGCGGGGTAGCGATGGTTCGGGGCAGTGCCGGCTCGGGGCAGTGCCAGGTTTCCAGTGGCGGCAAGCTTCCTGTGGTGGCAGCAGCAGCCACCTCCTTGCCAGTCGAGCGGCACGGTTCTCAGAAACGTCAAAAAAAAGGGAGGAATTTTTTTGGGACTGTTTACATTTTCTTTTTGTGTATGTGAATAATGTGAGTCACTTGGGTTTTCCGTTTGTTTTGTGCAACCGAATGGAAAACCGTTTGCAAGAAACCCGAATCAACAGTCAGCCAAATATAAGCAGGGCGTTTCACTGCATCACCTCCGGAGTGTTTTACTTTGAAAGGGAAAAATATATATTTTGAGCTTTCGTCCAAATATTTCCAACAATACCCCCCTCCCACAATTTCTCTATCATCTGAACGCAACCCTCATACCTGGGCATATTTTTCATTTCAGGTTTGGCGGAACCGTGACAATTAGTTCTCCGGACAAGAACAAAGTCAACTTCATCCCCAACAGCAATTCTGCCTTCATCTCCATTAGGAGCATCAGATGTGCGTCACTGAGCTGCCTCGAGGGCGCGTCGGATGCCGACTGGGGGCCACCCCCCTCCTGCCGCGCCTTGGTGATGGACAGAGACACGTTGCTGACTAAACCGGCGCACATCAACAGAGGACAGGCAGCCCCCGGAATTAGCCGGTGGGTGGCCCGAGTCTCGGAACAGCGGCGAACAGGGCGCGCGCACCGCTTACCCGTCGGCAAACCGAATAGGAGCCCCCCCGGAGTGCCGCGAGCCGCAGGCCGCCGCGGCTCCCGGTGGCGCCGCCCGGCCGCCCGACCTCATGACGAGTCCGAAGCCGATCTCGCAGGGACCACCCAGCGGCGGTGTCGTCGGCCTGCTGGGACCGCCGCAAAACGACGGAGAGCGAGGACGGCCCCAGGCAGGAGCGGCGATGCCGTCGCAGACGTACCCGGTGCTCTGCTAGGAGGCGCAAGCGGCCGCTGTTCGCGACGCGTACCGAACGGCGGGTGCAGCGCGCGACGTGCTTCACACGTACGGTTCATTTCCTACAAATATACTTTCGAGCCGGTCAGGGACACGTTACCGCTTGCCCCTTTTCGCTGTGAAGAACGTTTGCACGAGAGCAGTTTGAATTTTACGCGTGGGCCAAAATTTGACCGGAGACTTGCGTACAGTTACTTCTCAGCAATTACTCGGATTTACATAATTTACATAACCAACTGCTTTGGGCAGCAAGCACTCCTTTAATTTGTGCATGGCTGGAATCGTCGTTGTAATAAAATAAAAAACACAGCTCGCTCTGCGAACATAACAAGCACACTTATCCGTGAACGAATTGTACATCGCACAACGCATCCTCCGCGACTCCCCCTCGTGCACGTCAAATCCCAACAAGCCGAGGGGGGGGGGGGGGCAGTTTGCAACCGGGGCCCCCTCCCCGTGTCGGTCGAGGGGACCCCTGTGCATGCTTCCCCCGGAACGGGCTGCCCGTTGTTGTTGTTGTTGCGAGGGTTGGGCCGACGAAAAAGGTCCGGCGGTCAAGCAGCAAAACAGAAATCTTTTTGAAATCAAGCGACGTCCACCACCACCCCCACCTCGTGATTTAAAAACGGGCAGCCCCGTCCATCTGCGCCCACGCCCTGTTTTGTTGAACCAGTGCCAAATAAATACAACCCTTATTTTTCGCTTTTGGAGCTCGAGGCAAAATGCTCTCCGATCGTCAACGTGTTTTCACGGCAGGCAACACGAATTAAGGTGGTTCTGCAGTACCTCATATGTATTTACGTATTTTTAATCCCTCGATATACATGGTATTTGTGAGTGTTATAGAGTGTTCGATACTTTTAAACGAAAGCGGACGTCTCAAATTATTAATGTAATGAATCAATCAGTCGCGTTATCGATCGTTTATAAAAAAAAAGTGACCTGGTATTCTCCTTAAACATAACGGCTAAGACTCAGGAAAGTTTTGTTTTTTGTGTCAAATTTGTCTTGCGGCAATAGCTCAACTGCAAAGTCCCGCTTCGACAGCTTCCGCCCTGCGTAATTTATCTTTTGTACGCTGTCGCTGTCATTCGCGCGCCCTTTCCCAAACGTCCCTCTGGCGTGTGGCGTTGGTTCCATTCACACGCGCACCAACGCTCACCACCCAACCACAACCACCCAACCACCCAAACCACCACCGCCAACCACCAACAACACCCTTGTCCAGAAATTGCACAAGTACTACTGTATCTACTGTACATTCCCTTTTTTCACATTTCCTGTTTGCAGTGGTTGATTATTTAAAATAAACAATGTAACAATTACCGAGTGACCGTCTCATCTCGAAACCTCGCTGCTGCTGCTGCTACCGACCACCGACCCCACGCGGTTGTTGTGGCTTCCTGAGACCCACGCCGACGAGCGGACTGGAGCCGGCTTCACGAGACTAAAGCCACCGTGAGATCAGGAGGCGGCTCGCCGTCCTTTTCCTCCTGCCGTGTCTATTTTTTGCAGGATAAAAAAAAGCATGAAATCTCCTGCCGCACCGCAACGCGCTTTGGATAAATTGAGCACAAAGACAAAGATCCCCCCCCCCCCCGTATAGATTTAACAGACTGTTGGGGCAAGTGCTGTTAGCGGGCACCTATGAAGGTTGGAACGGTACACGAGAGGGTGGGTGGCCAGAACCACGCCCCGCCGCCTTTGTCTCCCCCGTGGTTATGTTTACTGCACACCGCACTAGGTACCCATTTGAGGCCGAGTCGACCTAGGGGAGGCCCAGGACCGGTTCAGATAATCGTCACTGGTGTCAGCCGTGAACAGGAATCGAACTCTGGCCGCCAAGTTCGTAGCGCAGCACGCTAACCACTACACCACCGCTCCCCACACGCACAAGCCCACACATTACGCCCCAAAGTGAACCACAGCCCCAATCAATATCCAGGCATGGGCCTAACGTCATCTGCACCATGTCCCCATTAGCGGTCGACTAAGCAAAAAGCCAAACACCTGATCAATATAAAAGCCAAACAGGACATTTGGAGAGAAAAAACTAAAATACTAACTTCAACTCGCACTAAATTATTGCAATCTTACATTTCCAAATGCAGAAATGAGTTTCTGATCTTCGTTTGAGAAATGTGTTTGCATTGCAAAGGTCAATACGGCATTTCGCTAATGACGTTTTGACTAAAATGTACGGGGATGTGATCCTTTGCCAATAAACCAGGAAGGCGTCATACCCGTAAATGCATTACATCAATATGTCACAACTCAATTAAGATGGAATAACCAAATTATTATTTATTGACGGCACTATCATGCCATACTTTGGACCAAGGTTCTTCCAACTGATCGTGAGGGGGCCACATCTGGCTCCAGAAGGCTCTTGCAGTGGGCCCGCCAAAGCTATGGGCTGCCAAGCTATGGCTCGCTTAGGCCTAGAGACACAGATCCGCGAGACGAAAGAGAGAAAAACGTTTGATGAATGAAACAGGAGACCAGAGGTAGATTAGTGCTCATGTGATTACAAGTTGTCACGATGTATGTTAAACTTATTTCGCACCGTGCTAATCGGAGGTGCTTGTGACCCGTCCACCTCTGTGCATGCAACACGGTGACATCACGCGACACGCAAAAACCCAACCTCGTTGTGTTATGTGGACCGCTGAAGACTCATGTTTAAGACAAAACCATGAAATGGAACTTTTACCACTGGCACATCTGAATGGCGGAGAACAGAACGTCGCTTCAAGAAGTGTGGTTCTTCCAAATTGCGCTAAGCTTAAATGCTCCGGGCACCACGCAACGATCAGGAACAGAATGAAACAAAATCTTGACACACACCCATTCCAAGCGCTTTATTCGACGAGCATCTCCAAGACAACGAAACACGGAGTAGCGAGAAGGACGAGCCGTCGGCACGGCAGCGATGTGGCAGGCAAACAGCCACTGTGCCCAACGCATCACTTGGCACAAGAACTAGGGCTGGCATCGTGCACACATGAAACTCAGAGGGGAGGTTCGTTAAAAAAAAGAGACATGCTTTGTTTTTTTTTCCTCTCTCCTAAGGCCACGGAATTATTATCATTATTATTATTTTCGTTCCACAATACGGGGGGGAAGAAAGAACAAACCGCGTCGGGAGGTATTTAAATTAAATGGCACGTGCGCGGGAGACACGCGGAACGTTCGGTAAAAAAAGTGAAGGTCGCGTCACTGAACGCAGCCCCCCCTCCCGCTCCCATGTCCCCCCCCCCCCCAATTGAGTTGTCAAGACGTCCCTTTACATGAGGTTTTAACTTTAGAGTATCACCCGAACGCCCATATGTAAAATGCAAAGTGACATTTTCCAGTTGTAAAAATAGCAAAAGCCCTTCCATCGTGGAATTTTAAGCAAAACTAAAATCCGACTTAGGTTACAGTGTAAAGCGGGCTCACGGTGACCCCCAAATAGTGCCGACAGAGTTAAAATAATTACACTTCGTCGACCATTGTATAACCGCAACATTTCTAACAAGTACTTGAATGGAAGTACAACCATTATTTTCCAGGTGATAGGCTATTATGATTGCGATGAAGAACCGGCAAGTAGAATCCACTCCTACGAATTAGGATGTAGGCGCAGCCCTGCAAGTGTTCGCTAACGCCACTGCTGGCGGAAGGGCCGACACCAGGGGGAGCTTTCGAGAGCCCCTCCAGAGGGTACAGTATCTGGCCTGTCGTTTAACGCTGGTCAGACGTCTTAAAAAAAAGTGGGAGTACCCACACTTTACCCCACCGAACGCGACCCGCCGATTGTCTTAAAACAGTTGACCCATTGATACTGCTGGGTGGACAGAGGCGGTGGGCGATTCTAAAAACTGCACCGGTGTGTCAACTGCCGTGCCGGGAGATTGAACCGGCGACCTCTGGATTGCAAGTCCAGCGTGCCAAGCATTACACCGCAGCAGCAGCAGCAGCGTCGCAAATAACGAACACATCTCACTTCAAATGAACACTTTGGCATAATGAGCAAAACACGCCGAGAGGGGATGTCGCTGTTCTGCGCACAAGTAATCTCTGCAACACAAGAGAGCGGTGCGATTTACGATGAGACGCTGCCTTCAACGTCAGCGAAAACCTGCGGCCTTCGGGAGCCTTGGGCCGAGAAGGCCCCAGGAGTGATGCACAAATACAGATGATGAACCAAACAGCAACTCGGTGCCTTTCTTATTTGAGTTGCCAAAGAAGCAACAATTCAAATATAACCAATAAAATACAGTGGCCGGAGGTCCCATCAGAAGTTCTGATCGAGACCCTCAAAAAAACAACCCCAAATATCACCCATCTGCTTGTAATAAAGTTCCATCTAAATGTCCTTATCTAAAACTTGAGTGCCCGGTTCAGGCACCGTTAAAAGGGTGGTGGCGTCGTTGCCACTCGGTGTGCATCATTCTGAAAGCAACGTGCAGTGTTATAAAACAGTAGCGTGAACACCAAGGAGCGTTTTAACCAACGCCGGCCCGCGCTCCAATCGCGTGCCGGCGTTGGTTGAGCTCGGGTACCCGCGTTTAGGTTAACCAGTGATCGCGACCTTCAGAAGCAAGTGCTCCGGCTTACACGCAATCCTCTACCTCTAGAAGATGATTATCACATTCCGTCGTGGGACCAAGTCGAAAAACTAAAGGCACCGTACGCTACAATATAGTTGGTCCAATAAAATATAAACACAACCAAAACCGACTTGAATCTTTGACCCCAACAGATCCCAGGACAATAACGGCACCCGGCCCCCTCAACGGCCGCGAGAACTCCATCTATGGTCCCCCACAACCGCAAACTCTCGCCCTCCGAGTAACCACGGTGAGATGAGCACCGCACTGCGGTCCCAGAGGTCACAATGAGGCTCTCCCCGAAGGAGGAGACAGCGGCATAGTCTGCGGTTGCTCCCCTCCGCCCTTCCGTCTCCACCCCCAGCCATCCCCCACAACGGCGGAGAGGGAAAAGGAGGGAGGGAGCGGGGGTTTTGGCAACAGGGAGATTTAGGCGTTGAGCAGCTCGTGGTCCGAGTCCGTGCGCCCCACGGCATCGGGGTTCCCGAGGGGGTCGAGGTCGGCGAAGAGGCTGAACCAGGCCGACATGTCTCGCGCCGCGGGCTTCTCACCTGGGTCACACGCGCATAGTGGGGTCACACACAAACACAACGGGGTCACACAGTCATAGCGCCGGCCATGTGCGTGTAAGGGTTGGGAGAACGCGGCTCTTTTAAAATGTTGAGTTTCTCGTCAGCTGCGGGGAATTTCTACCTACATGACTTTACCGAAAGCACCAAAGAGTAAAATTTCCATTGAACTCTTTGGAATCTTTCGTGTTAAAATGAGCACGCCAGTTCGCATGCCAAAACGCAGCTCTCGCATAAAAGCGGCCAGCGTCGGGCGGCACACCTAAGCCGCGAAATGAAAAGCGCGTAAAAAAATGGTTGTGTTATTAATTTATATTTTAACAAACCGCGCGGCAGAAAAACACTCAATGCTGCTTTTCCTTCTGATAACACATTACACTTGAGCCTCCTCCCATGTCAAGGACAGTCAGGCGCCCACTCCATCCTCCCACAGCGGCTGTAATTTTATCTCGGCACTGCACGGTGGGCATCGCTCAATTCCCCCACGCCACGTTTCCATTCCTCAGTGTGCCGAGGGGCGTGCGTAACGCACACACACACCACTACACACACACCCCCACCACACACACACAGACCGCCACACACACACACACACCACTACACACACACCCCCACCACACACACACAGACCGCCACACACACAACACAGACCGCCACACACACACACACCGCCACATGTACGAAGACAAAGATCCCCCGTATAGCCTGAACAGACAGTTGGGGCAAGTGCTGTTAACGAGCACCTATGAAGGTCAGAACGGCACACGAGGGGGTAGGTGGTCAGCACCACGCCTTTGTCTCCTGAGTGACAATGTTTTTACACATCACACCAGGTACTCATTTGAGGCTGAGTCGACCTACGGGAGGCCCAGGACAGGTTCAGAAAATCGTCACCGATGTTGGCCGTGAGTGGGAATCAAACTCTGGTTGTCAGGTTCGTAGCGCAGCGCGTAAACCGCTACACTACCACTGCCCATAAACACACACACCGTCACACACGCACTGCCACACGCACACACACCACCACATACACACCACCAAACACACACCACCACACACACCGCCACAAGCAGACCTCACATTTCGCTGAATGCGAAATCGTCCAGGATTATTATTTCTCTTAATGTGTTTTTTTAGTTTTTAGGAGAAATTCTGCAGTAAAAACAGACCCATCGTGGTTTCATTGAAATAAGTGCCTTATTATGGGCGCGCCACAGCCTTGGCTGGCCCACTTTCTCTCGACAGCCAGGCTAATGCATCGGCGGCTGGGCGTGTTTAAAATGAGTCCAGATATAAAAAAAAACATCCAGGTAGGTAGGTAGGTGCTAGATTTGGACATTTCACGAATCAGTGCCAAGCAGAGGAAAAAATAATGAACAAACATACATACGATGAACACAGGGAACACGATCACACCGGCCGCATAAGCAGCTTGTGCACCGCTTTGCGCGCTGCTTGGAGGGCACAACATGTTCCAGTTCATGAAACGTATATAACGCGACATTAATGCCTATAACGCGATATTAATGTGTTGGGCCTGGCCACCACAACTGTTGCCAACAGAGTAGGCTTCGTGTTCAAGTGTCATTTTCCCACACCCCTTCCCCACCGGGACAGGAAGTTAAATGATCCACATCTGCAAGGACGTGGAAGGGGCAGGATAATCCGAGTTGGAGAAGCTCGCGTCGCGGCTTGGCACGGGGAGGGGAGGAAACACGCCACCAAGGGCGCAGGCCGGGCTTATTACTACGCAAAGTTGCACGTGTGTAACGCAACGACGTGGAATATAATTTTCCTGAAACGCAAGGGCACAGACGCAAAGGGCACAAATCCCGAGCCAGACCACTGGCTCACACCATGCTGTTCCTGCATGTTAACGAGACGTCTGATTTGAACTATTTAAACTATTTTACCAGGTAAGGCCCACTGAGCTCTATAGCTCTTTTTCAGAAGCGACCTGGCCACAAATGATAGCTCAAGGAAGTGGATTTGTCACGTGGAAATTTATAGTAACCAAATACTCGAAATGCAAGTTTAAAAAATGTTAAGGGAAAAACCAGAGCACCCGGAGAAAAATCCGCGCGACCACGCGGAGAGAGACATGCAAACTCCAAAGATACAGCAGGCATCAGGGTCAGGATTCAACCCACGACCTCCTGTATACCTAGGGAGCTAGTTAACATCTCGCCCACTGCAGCATCCTAGGATGCACGAGTGTGCACACAAGGGATTCACTTTTCCATTTGCCGCACGATCCCCCTGCGCCATTCTCTGTTGAGAACGACAAGCATCCGCGTCCGCTGGGAGCGTGCTCGTCTAGCGGTTCCTTCGCGCGTGCGTGCATGCACACGCGTGTGCGTACATGCACGCACGCGTGCTTGTCTGGCGACGCGATCGCCCCCGGAGCACTTTCATTTGTCTCGCCGCCTCGTTAAAGAGCCCCGCGCCGTTATTGCAGCGACACGTGAGTAACGCTTCAGCATCCCCGACGCTCCGCGAACACGGCCAACGCTTAAGATCCCCGGCTTGAAACGGACTTGGCAAAACTCTCACATTGAAGATGTAAGTATTAAACCAAAAAATGGAGAGAAAAAACTTGCGAATAAGGGTGCAGCGGTGGCACAATGGTTAACGCACTGGAGATTTTTGTTCAATTCCCAGCCGTGGCTAACATCGGTGGCGAGTGAAATGTGCACCGATCCTGGGCCTCCCCTTCATCAACTCGCACTGAAGAAACGTGGTGTCGCATGTCGTCTAACAACCCCGATGACTGACACGGTGTGGGGAGGCCTTCATCTAGCAGTAGATTGACAAAGGGCAGAAAATAATTATTAAATTACTCTGTAAAATAAATCAAATCTGCCCACAGAACCCCCAGGAGTACACGCAATTACATATGGGCTGCATTAGAGGTCCATAATGCATCTGTGGAGGCACAGAGGGAAGGGCGCTGTTTCCCAATCGTTAAAGAATCATAATTCGGTCGTTATTCGTTGTAAACGTTGCTGTTCCGAGCACCTGGGGAACCAAGTGGCTGCCACGGCCCAGCCAAGCGCCCCGCAGTTGCGCACTGAGTCTGTAATGAGATCTTTTATGCTCTGTTTGCAAATGTAAAGTATGCCATAATGGCAGTGATTTCCAGAGCAATATTTTCCAATTGTCTTTTGATGTTACAATAATACAAAACTATTCCCAACATGGGTTCCTTTTCATGGATGCTGCACTGATGGGGAATGCGTGGAAGTGAGCGAGTACGCGCACGCGCACAGGATTGCGTGCGTTTGCGTGTCGTACACACACGTGTGCCCATAGAAGCCAAGTGTGTGTGTGCGTGTTTACCCAAAGTGACATTTCATCCTATTCGGATCATGCACAATCACATTTCCCCCGAAAGTTCTGGGCAAGCGGCAGGTGCCAAGGAAGGCACGGGCCGGTGACACCGACGAGCGGTAGAGCCCAGTCGCCGTTTGTTGCAGAGGTTCACGGTTCGAATCCAACGGCCGCCCTGGTTATTGCTGCGGTGCGTGCGTAAACTGTAAAAATACTCCGCGCCGTCTACTTCACAGTGGATGCAAAAGATCCCGTGGTGTCAGTCACAAGAGTAGGCCATTGCACCCCCTTGCTGTGGTACACATTTTTCAAGTTAATCAAACTACCAACAATTTACTCAATTAGAATTACACAGAGCAACCAGCGACTCCGACTGCAGAATCATTGGTCAGGACTCTCCTCAAAAAAAGAAAGGAAAAAAAAGTCACGAGACTCAGCGAGGCTTTCCTGTATAAACCAGTACAATAATCAAGGCTCAGGTGCCGGTGCTGGGGTAGGCCTTGAAGGTAGCGGCACCTTTTTTTGGCTGCGGGTGCCCCGGTGGGGCCGCCGGTGGTGCGAGAGGAACGTTGAGTTCGGTGCCAGGGCCCATTTGCTCGTGTCGCAGCGCGTCCCAGCCTGCCCTTGCACGCGTCGCACCACAGCAGCGGGACACGGTGTTTGTCAACGGTGAGTTGTCCGCCGAAGAGAACATTTATTTACAACTACTTTTTGTGTTTAGTTTGTTGTCCTTCCCCCGCACCTCCGATTAGCATGGTTGGCTACGTACGGTGCGAAAGAAGTTCAACATACAGACATACGTACAAACGTACAAGAGAAAGGTCCATGGCACAAGCTCCCTCCTTCTCGTCTGACCCCACTGGCATCTCTTCACCAGGCTACACCACACTCCGTACGGAGGTTCTCACGCCACGACTCGGGAAAGATGGTTGAGGTGGCTTTCACTTGGCTTAATCAACAGTGCTTTATAGTTGACACCATATGAGTTTGTCACACCCAGGATGCCTGCTACTACTACTACTCTGGTACACCAAGTCAATTCATGAGTATTTGTCAGTGGTAAGAGTGGTTAATTGTTCACAGCTTCTGCTTGAACATAACTGGCAAAGCAGTCCCTTTTATTTTAACCCAGGACATTACGAGCGAAGGGAGAGCATGGAGGTTACCTTACACTCAACTGTTCCCAGTTGCACCGAATGGCCCCAACATGTTCATTGAGGGCTCTTGCCAATATCACCTGAACACATGGCAGCATTTGTTCTACAGCCCACACACTGCTGAGGATACTTATAGAAGTCAAAACTGGTCTCGTGTGTCCAGTAAATGGTCCAAGATGCTTGAACAAACGTTGCTGTAAAAAAATAATCCAGAAGAACCACCGGCTAAATTGATGTAATTTCTAGTTGTCAATTATGAGACACACCCTCGTCTTTATTTATGTATTCCCTACTTTCTTGCTAACGTACACCCACGTGCCTGAGAAATCACCTCCTCTCATTACTCCACACCATTGAAGGAACACAGCTCGACTGCCACGAGACCACGCGCTGCATTACTGACCAGCACGGGAGCGCGCAAGGGCAAGGGGGGTGAGCAAACCCACCGGAGACAGAGCGGCTGTAGTTCATGTCGAGGAGCTCCGATGGCAGGAAACCCCCGCCGGCGCCTGATGGGTCCATCGTTTGAGCCGGGAGGAGAGAGGTCAAGCCAGCCGTGCCGGTGACCTGGCCTGGCAGGCCGGGCGCCAACGACATCAGGTTATCGCCACCACCGCCGCCACCGCAGCCGTCATCGCCTTCCCCGCTTTGGGGCGGCTCGGCAGGCGACGGCATGGGCCACTGGGACAGCTCGCCCCCGAACACCGCCTGCCATGCCGAGCCGAAGTCGGCGTCGGACGGGGCATTCATGATCTCGTTGAGCAGCGCCAGGTCGTCCTTCTCGCCGTCCTCGCCCTCCGCCACTTCTCCCAGCTCCGCCAGCAAATCTGTCGCACGGCACACGGCGAGCTTAGGGAGGGTCGACCGACGATCGAACGAACGCGGAGAAAGATGGCGAAAGCGAGGGCCGTTTTTTTTTGGGCCAACTTGGCGAGCACATCTCACGGTCGTGACAATAGCTCAGAAGCTCATATTTTTTTGGACAAATATCAAGGGGTTTTGAACTTTTATTTAAAAGGCTTAAGAAAACCCCACTGCCAGAGGAATCATCAGATAAAAGTAATGAAAAAATGCAAATTTAATGCAGTGTCGGCATTAAATCTGCCTTCATCCCCGGCGGAGAGAGACGCTAATCCTCGCCGAAGCTGCTGCATCTCTGTTACAGACCGAGGCGTCGCGTCTCCATCCATCACGCGCGTCCCCCGTGCCCGCCACCGCCACAATCGCCGCTCCTGCCGGGCCCCTTTCCAGGTGCCACAAACCCGGCGCTCGGCAAGCCCTAATCCTGGAGCTGGGCGCTCCCCTGCTGGGCGCAGACTCATTAGCATGCAGCCGTGCCAAACGCCCGGCTCGGAATGCCGGCAGGGACAATGCCGCTGACAGATCTGCAGACTGCAGTAGAGACCCTTTATATAAAGCGCCATTCTGTACACTAAAAATTACTCTTGAGAAGGGAATAGAAAAAGGAAAAAATCTTTCAAAAGCCAAGGTTGGCACGAAATAACATTTCAAGTCGATAACGTAAAAAAGCCCTTTTTGATTTCTTTTATTCGATTACGTTTTTTTTTCCCTTCTGTATTTTTATATCGGAGATAGATGTTGATGAAATGTTATCGCATTACCCAGCAGGGCCTAATGTTGGCGGCTGACATTCTGGTCACAGGCGCCGCTCGAGTGCAGACAACCATTCTTTCTGACCAATCACATTAAGGCGTGAGCGGCTGTCACACTCAAGAGGGGAAACTGCCGCGTTAATATCGCCGCTAGGCCACCATCAAATTAACACGCCGGTTGCCCACTCAAACTCAAAGAGGGCCCCCCTTTAAATGACCCAAAAGCATCGTCTAGTCGCTCACAGCGAGGTTTTCACATCCAGCACTGAGGCTGGGCAGGCGGCACATTGCAGGAGCGTACAGCAAATCGGCTGTTGATTTATCAACACGCAACATTGAGAGTGCTAACTCCTCGTATTGTAAGTGGGTTTCCTCAACGTACTCTAATTTCATCCCACCAGAAGTATAACACTTCTTAAAACGGAACTGACCTAATATCCAAATGCAGAACCCTCTTGAACACGAGTTTTGAGACTCTGTAAGCTTTTCCAGGATAATTGAAACAGCATGAATGTTGTTACAGAATCACATCCTGATAAAATGGCCAAAGCTATTGGCTGTGAGGTTTTGCCCCATCGACTCGTGAAGGAAACTTCGGCGTGGATTTCCAACAACAACCAAAATCTGCAAAGGAGGGACGACAAATTTGGAAATTCAGAACTGAAAACCACCGGGCACGTCCCATTTAGTCCCAAGCAAGAGCCAGCAAGGACTCCACGACAGGTTGCGGACAACGGAGCCGAGACGCCAGCAGCAGCAATGGTTTAAAGTGCAGGCATTGCGCCACGTCGGGCCAACGCGGTTTAAAATCAATTCCTCCCCCAGCGCTTGCACATTAACATTTGTGGCTGTTGCCACTTGAGGACTATTGTTACATGTAATTGATGCTTGGTTACTCATTAATAAAGTGAGATTACTCACCGTGATTATTTTAGAGCCACACATTTTCTAATCATCAGCTACTGAGCTGTAGAGGTGTCAGTGCCCCCAACGGCTTAATGAAGCATAAATTATCATGTTGTAAAGAAATATAATCATTTGCACAACAGATAATAAATCAAACGCCTTTTATACAAATGCAAATAACACTTTTTAAAGCGGAATTTTGGAAAAAAGAAAAAAAAGGCGATGAGAGAGGAGATGATGAGAGCGTTGCTCTGATCTAAGAGGTTGCATGGAACTGTGCACACAAGAATCCACAAGGTGCATGCGTGGGGCCATTAATGTACCGCCTCCTCCTCCACCTCCCAGACTGCCCCACGGTGTTTACAAGACATCCTTTGAATGAGTCATGAGATTATAAATGTCAAAATTAACAAAACCGGCATCAGAGGATGACGTGTTCTAGTTTCAAACAAGCTTTTGAAATAAACAAATATAATTCCCACTTTGTTTTCGGAAATACTAATCCCTAAAGGTCATCCTGGCACAGCGGTTGGCGTGCTGCGCTACGAACCCGGCAACCTCGAGTTTTATTCCGGTCACGGCTAACATCAGTGGCGAGGGATAGCTGAACCAGTCCTGGCAGCAACCACCCCCCCCCTTCACCAGCCCGCACCGACAGCATGATCAGGAACGGTTAAACAACCCCCATGAAGGGACTATAAATTGTGATCCATCAAATGAGTTATATTGAGGTGGGAGCACCTCTGACATTTGCCTGCAACCTGACTACACAGGCTTAGAGCAAACGCTCCCAGGAGATCGTTTCATGTGCACAGCGTGTAGAATGCAAGGGAGAGGTGCGATTCCCGGGAACCAGAGGCGGAGCGGGACCCCCTCTGGCTTCCTAGGGATGGCTTCAAAGCAGAGGCGGTGGAATGGTTGCAGCACCTACTGGCCGAGAGTGGCGAAGGATTCTACGGGGGTGCTAATACTACAGGGCGCCGGACGGTGCCCACTGCACTCACCCAGCATGTCACTGTTGCCCAGCTCGGCCAGCAGCACTGCAAGCACAACGTTATCACCAAAACGCTCCAACGCTTGCCATTTTCTAAGTTTAGTTTTTTTTATTTAAAAAAATTCATAATCCTTGAGCCTTCATATGCGAGAGAGGTTTCAACTCTGGTGTTTTGAAACTGTAATTTTATTGTAAAATTAGCAATTATAATTTTAATACGACTGTAAATTTCCGCGGTCGTGCTGTATAATAGCATGTGTTTTCGGATTGTGCCGTCATGGTGTTCAGTGTGAGCTGAAGGAACAGGAATTGAAGAAGCTCCCAGCACGAGGTGCGAAGCGTCAGACATCGTGCTGAACAACACCAGTATAACCAGACTAAGATGAATTTATATCGTGCAAAAATATTACAAAACAAAAAGCATCCCAAGACACTAGAGAAAAGATAAACGGTACGGAGATAAAAATTGAAAACATTTAATAAATATGCAAGGCTACCGTAATCAAACAACAATTCAGTGTACCTTCACGTGCCAAAAAACACAACAAAATTATACACATTTTATTTTTTCTCGTTCTCTTTCATACCTGCATTGGCATGTCCCATCTGCTCCGAAGTCATGCCCGAGTATCCACCCTCTTCTACACGAGGAAACACCACCATCAGCCATATCAACATCAACACCGCAGTGAGGCCTTCCCCCTTAGGGATGCTCCCTAAAGCTCACAATAGACTCAGGACATTTTAAGGGGCAATGATTGCCAGCAAAGATTGTGCTACGAACTAAGCCCGAGTGCATCATGGTCGCAATGGCTGCTTTGTAGGCTTGCCATGTCCATCTAAATGCTCACAAACAGCCCTCGTCAATCCACCTCTGAATGAAGGCTTCCCCACGCCATACTTTATTTGACCATACTTTACCACGCTGGTCAGTGTGGGTTGAAGGTGATGCAATTAGACATCGCAGCAGAGTACACAACAGCAATAAATTTGCCGCACTGACCTCTGTTGACAACGCAGCACCTCAACAGCGAACAGTAGAAAAGTTTGGTGCTTGGTGGTCACCCATCCAAACGCCATCCAAACTCAACCCTGGCTTATGCTCCCGTGATCTGACAAGACCGAGCGTTTTCCGGGGTGATTTGCCCATTATACAGTTGTTATTGCGGAGCGAGACAAATCCAAGCGTGCCTCGCTAGGCAGGCGCAGGCAGCTGTGACGCACCGACCCTAAGAAAAAGACCTGCCCGGCGAATCCGTTGAAAGTATTCAGGCGTTACCTTGGCCGCCGGCACTTTCGGCAAGACCTCCCTCGTCGAGAGAAACCAGCCTGGCGGCGGGGGGGGGGGGGGTGACAGAAAACAGAGGGGTGTCACGATTGCGAGATGTTAAATACCTCGCCTGGTATGCTAGGGGTTGTGGGTTTGATCCTGACCCTGACGCTTGTATATTTGGGGTTTGAATGTCTCTCTCCCCGTTGTCGCGTGGATTTTTCTCCGGATCCTCTGGATTTTCCCTCTACACTTAGAAACATGCATTTAGAGTATTTGGCTGCTGTACATTTTCACGTGAGAAGCCACTTGCATTGGGATTTCATTTGTGGCCAAGTTGCTTCTGAAGAAGAGCTATATAGAGGTCAGTGGGCCTTACCTGGTAAAATTAGAAGTTACATTTTATGGTCACAGAAGCTCGGGTTGCACTGCTAGGCAGACACTGAGCGGCAACATTTATAACGCATCCGTCACCACAGTGTTATCTTTGTTGTTGCAAGACGGGCCACGCTAGCACATACGGGAAGTCAAAACACAACAAGCTTTGTTAAAAGTCCAAAAACAAAAATGTTGCCAGATTTGCGTGTTTGTTTTTTTCCTTATACCAACTGCATCTCCTATTATTTTTCTTCACTAAAGTAGGATCCAGATGCGAATCAATCCCTCCTCACCAAGTCGAGAAAACTGCAGTTATTAAGGATAATTATACGACTTTGTCGATCCACTGCTGGACGAAGGCTTCCCCACAATGTGTTAGACATGGGGGTTGTTTGACCATACCTCACCGTGCTGATCAGTACGTGTTGGTGATGGTGGGGGTGGCCCAGGATTGGTTCAGACATCGCTAGCTAATCAAGTTAGGCATAGCCGGGAATCATACTCGCGTCACTGGGCTCATAGTGCAGTGTTGTTAACCACGGTGCCACCCATCCACCCATGTTAAGTATTGACCAGTAATATTGTTTAAATATTGGGGCTTTTTTTTATTTTGCATTTGGATAGAGCCTGGGTTAAAGCCCATTGAAACCAACAGTCTATCCTTTAGAGGAGACCTGCGTTGAAATACCAACAGCAAATACGGCAAACAAATTCCAATGTGTAAACAATACCAATGGATTCAGGCTATGGCTATAGTGGGCATGAATTATGCAGCACTGTTATGAAATTCCACGGGAAAACGTAACTACAACCACTGGGGATTCGAAACAATCCCGCACCCTCCAATTAGCACGGTTGGCCACGTATGGTGCGAAATAACTCCAACATACATCCAATCAACTTCACGTGAGCAAGCGTGGCGATGGTTGCGGTGAGCAGCGGTCACCACCGACTCGGCCGCCGGTGGCGGTCCGTGATTTCAGTGACCGGTTGTGCCCCCCAAATCAACACTCGTGTGTGTGTGTCAGGGGAGCGTCTCTTGGTCAAACATACGTGTCAATGTCCTGGCCATCGCCCTCCTTGTCCTCTCTCTTGTCCGCATCTTCCTCTGTCGGATTCTCAGACAACTTCTTCATTGGGTCCTGCAAGCTCTGCAGATAGACAAATGAACAGCCATCACACGTCAGCAGTAGGCAGGTGTAGTAGTAGCAGTGTTAGTAGCAGGACTTTGTTTAAAACCTGACGACAAAATTACCCAGAGTGTGCCCAATCTAATCAGAATCTCAGAAGTTAAGCAGGCATAAGCCTGAATAGTGCTTTTATGGGCGACTTACCCTCAATCACATTTCTTATGATCACTGTTACATTGTTTTTATAGCATTATTTTAGTAATTTCTAGAAAGGTTTAGTTTAGCCCGATTTTTTTACGTAGTATAGAGTTACACTTAAAATTGTAATCTATATTGTAGTATGATTGTAATTGTGATCTAACATCAAAATTAGATTTATTGTCCATTTTTGTAGGCAGCATAAACAAATGGTGCTTTTTCTGGAAGATTTTATTGTTTTTGTAGGGGATGTTTTCAATTTGCGTACAGTAAATTTTAAATGTAACTTGTAATTTTATTGTTTGTTGTGGTTGCACCCGAATAAAGAGCCGAAATGGCTCACAGGGTTATTACAAATAAATTAAACTGAAAACTCATGAAATCCGGGCTACTCATCGAACGGTTACCCAAAGGTGGGAGACACAAATAAATGCTATAAAGACACATCTTGCCGTAACAGCCTTGCCAAGATATGCCCTCTCAGGCAATGCCACCATCAGCTGTTTCTCCCCTGACAGCTACCCTTCAAAAAATGCAAATGCAATGTCTCTGATATCTACCCATCAGATTCCACACTGTTAATAAAATACTTGTGAAGCCAAGCGCATGCAGGGAAGCATTCCACGATGCGTGCTTACGCATGATTTTTTCCGTACTTCTTTACAAAGCTGGGTTTAATATCCCTCGTGTCGGTGTATGGGTTTTAGGAATTGCGTTAGGAGTTCGCAGCAAGGGTTACGCCATTGCGGGCATGCCGGGTTGGCACCTTGAGGGTGGTGAACTCGTACGGCTGGTATCCCTTGAAGCAGTCTTGTACCGCAGACATCATGGAGGCCGTCTTCTCCCAGAACTGCAGAAGTGCACTCTGAGAAGCAGGAGGTATCAAAGCAAACAACGTTAAACCGAAAATAAAACGTCGAGCATGAGCGGACATTGATTTCTTTATGCATGTTAATACAAAAAATAACCTCTTGCAATAATCTACTTCTTGCATTTGCCATCACTGGTCGATATTCAAATGGCTCGACCAATAGATTGGGCACATCACATGGGGATCAATCATCCTTTTCACTCTCCCTGCCAACTGCCGCTGTTAAGGGGCAGCTGATCTGCAGTGTGGACAACTGTGCGTTGGGCTGCTTCCGCAGTGACATGCAGTCGTGGTGGTGCACAAACCAGCACAGTGCCAAATCAGTGAGCCAAATCGGCCTAAGTCAGATATCAGTCTATTAAGCGTCATCCAAGGCGATCTGGCCGACTGGAGCTTGTGTACAAGCGCAACAAGTGTAACCGATATCACTGCACAAATGACACCCTGTTTGTCATCATGAGTCAGTCAATGAGAGTTAAGGCCTATTTAAGGGAGTGCAATTCTACCCTATGCCCCCTAACCCCAATCCAAAAAACCCTTGTCCAAGTAGCTCTTACATATTAACATTAAGTCACTAAACAACATCATCATCAATGAGCCATGGTAAATCCACTGCTGGATGAAGGCCCTCCCTAAGCCGTCTCCATCTCTGAAGATCCTGCAATGTAACAATCCGCCTGGCACCTGCGTGCGAGCCCATTTCATCACCAAAACCCCATTCATCTTCTTTCCGTGATCATAGTCAGAGGGCAAAAGAAAAACGCAATGGATTGCTTTTGGCACGCTGACCGTGGGATATCGAGGCTCGACCTGCCTGTAGCCTCACAGAGACTCCCTCGGGAGATGAGGGAGTCTCTGCAAATTGAAGCTTCCCTTTGTTCCCACAATGAAACCATCACAAAGCAAATCGCTTCAGCACCTCCACAATCCCAGGGCTCACGGATGATTACATCAAACTCACTGTCCACTCTGCCTCAGGATCCAAGTCTCTCACGGCGCCAGCGATATTATAATCTTTACGCTTTAAAACGAAGGTTCAAAGTGTTTATGCATTAGCTTTGTCCGTCCGTAATGAGCGGAGGGGGGGGGAGGCAGGGCCTGGGCAATAACGAGGAGATGATAACTCTCCTTAAGATGGTCCAATAGGAATGAGGACATAGTATAACGTTGTGTTGCTATAGGAGACTTACCTTATTGAAAACCGGCATCATTGATCAAAGGGTTATTGTCAAAAAGTGGAGCCAGAAATCAAAGCCAATTGGCTATTTGTGTTTTCGTCGGGCTAATTAAATATTTCCATGACAAACGTGTGAAGGGAGGCCATACATAATCCATGAGTATGCAATCATTTTTCCTAACTTGTTTTTTGTCATGTGCACACATGCAATGCCGACTCAAAAAAAGAATTCCTAATCCTTTCAACGCAGACGATGTTAGCGTGCATATATGTGTGTGGGTGCACATTTTTGCTCATGCGTACGTATAAATACTTCTCTAAGCGTATGTGACTATAAGGAGCGGTGCTTGACAGTGTGTGGAAATTCGCATGCGCTTTTCTGTGCAAGATCCCCAGTATAGCCTAAACAGACCGTTGGGGCAAATGCTGTTAAGCGAGCACCTATAAATGCCGGCACGGCATACAAGGGGGGTGGGGGGGAATGTGTCGCCAGCACCGTGCCCAGCCACTTGTCTTCCTAGTGGCGATGTTTACACGTCGCACTAGGTACTCATTTGAGGCTGAATCATCCTAGAGGAGGCCCAGGACTGGTTCAGATAAATGTCACCGATGTTGGCCATGAGCGGGAGTCGAACTGGAACACTACCACTCCCCCACAACCGCGTGTCTGTACAAAGGAGGGAGAGAATCTTAAATAGCCGTGGTCCCTCGTGAGCAAGTAAATAGAAGGGAGGGCAAGGGGCAGGCACAGGGAGAAAAGACACCACTAACATCCCCATCAGCCCCACGAGGAGCAGACAATTTGGCTTTCAAGTAACATCCCCTCTTAATGTAGCAGCCACAACCGACTCGCACGCCAATTGTACAGCCCTTTATCAATCCACTGCAGGATTAGGGCCTTTCAATACCATGCGGGTTGTGGATATCTCTAACTATAATTCAAATTTGAAAAAAAAAATTACATTGAAAACTCGTTTCTTCTGAACTGCCTTTTGTGTTTAGTTTGCTGTTCTTCCCCCGCACCTCCAGTTAGCAGGGTTAGGGGTAGCTACGTACAGTGCGAAAGAAGTTCAACATACATACATACACCATGCATTTGGTCAGTGCTGGCGAGGAGCATAGACGTTGGGAGCATGACAACAGTGAATTTTACTGCACTGCCCCCTCTGCTTACCAAGTAGCTCAACAGCAGCCCTGTGGCAACCGGCTGTCTTAGGCACGGTGGGTCGCCCCGTCCCAGCACTAAGATCTTGGCTCAACCCTGCCTAGCTTCCGAGATCTGATGAGCTCGGCAGCATTCCAAGCGATATAGTCACCGGCAATCTGAATACATGGGCGCCACGGTGGCGAGATGTTAAATACCTCGCCTGGTATACAGGAGGTCGCGAGTTCGATTCCGACCCTAACGCCTGCTGTTTATTGCCCGTAGTCGAGTGGATTTATCTCTGCGTCCTCCGGCTTTCCCCTCCACATTTAGAAACATGCCGCTTCTGAAAAAGAGCTATATAGCTCAGTGGGTCCTTACCTGGAAAAATACAAAGTTGAGTTTACTTTAAGTCGGGGGGGGGGGCATCAACTATGCAGATTTCCACGGCTACGAGCCACACTACCTGACCACGGCACCAGGGCTGAAGCGCATTGGCGGCCGCTCCTCACCTGGTAGGCGGTGAGCGTTGAGGAGAGCAGGTTACAGCGGCTCGCCCCCAGCAGGTCCACCTTCTGGCACACGTCGTTGGTGAGCTTGTCGAAGCGCATCTTGCTCGCTCGCACCTCCCCCTGCACCTGCAAGAGGGGGAGAGCGCGCACGAGAGGAGTTCACCTCCGAGGGCTTTGAGCGTGGTCACGATCGGTGACCCCGATCGGTCGGAAGGTGGCTCCTCAACGTTTTGCGCGTCAATGGTGCCCGTTTTGCTCACGTCACCCGCGAGATAATAGCAGCTTCAAAACAAGACTAATCTGAGGTGGCCAGGTGGCTCAATAGGCTAATCACTGCGTCGGAGCACGTAGCGGGCACTGATGAGACCCGAGGTTCGAATCTGAGTTTTCAGCTGCTAGTGACGAACCAGGGTAATTAAACATGGTGATTTTATGGTCTTGATCTGTATTCTGTTGACTGAATAAAAAACATGAAGACAAAAAAGAAAATCAAAATATTTTCTATTTTTCAGTGTCATTACCCTGTGACCAGCGTCCCTACAGCGCGGCATGTGAGAAGGACCGCAACCTCTCGTGTAGATAAGTGGCGACTGAAAAGACCTCAGAAGTAATTCTCTGATGTCACCTTCCAAAGGCCATTCTCAAATGTAGGGCGAGATACACTTGACATGTAAAGATCTTCATCTCGTTACGTGATGGTGATTCCGCAATTTGGAAGATAAATTTGTGGCAAAACAAGTGATTCAATGATAAACGACAGTTATTTGAAACCTAAAAATATTCAGGTAAATCTGGATTTTTACAGTGTGCTGTACATTTAAATTGGACTCTGTTTGATTCTGATTAACGTTAAACACATACAGTATAAATAAACCAGTTATATCATAATTATAGTCCTGAATATGACTACGTGTCCGACACAAAGGGAGGAAGAGACGCGGAATTTGAAATGTTTTGGTTGGCACTGTGTGCTATGTTGTAATATGCTTTTCTTGTCCAGTTAAACATCATTAAAGTGACACTGTGCCTTGCCTCGTGGTCATTTGTCTGAACGACATTGCAAACTCCAAAACTTTGTCCGACACAGGGGACTGTGGTTTAAAAAAAAAAGACAAATCTTCTCCGAGACTGGAAAAGAAAGCCAGCTCACCTGAACATTTATCTCACATACAACACGTGAACCCCACTCAAATGACTACGTTTATAGTGAATGCACGTACTGTAAATTTTTATTTAGCCTGAAAGCTCAACAGTAGAGCGAGCGGCACGTAATCTTAAGGTCACAAGTTCAAAATCCTGATTGGGGGTTGACAAAACCCATCATCCCCTCCATCATCCAAGGAGGTGCCGAGTTGAGCCACTCTGAGCAGGAGCCTCGGTCTTGAAAATTTGTTTAAAATCTGCCAGGCAGCGAATCACATAGGCATCCCAAACTGAGTCTTCATGCGCATCCCAGCCAGATCGCAAAACTGGGCACGCATCAGTGTTTGCTAGGGATGATGTCATCATTCCAGCAACACCAGCCAATCAGCTGCCAGGAAGACAATTCTGATACACAACATGGCTGCCGTTGTTGTAATAGCAGGCCTTGTGCAACATGGATGCCTTGATGCCATCGCTCCAAGCGTTGTCAGGCTGTGGCCGAGGTAAGTTGCATCTTTATATTATACGTGTTTTTTAAAGTGATAGGAGTGTGATTTTGTGCATTTATACATCTATCGTGTGAACAGTCTGTTCAAAGGCTATATTGAGAAACTTTTTATTTATCTGTTTGTGACAGATCATGTTTGTGTGGGAGGAGTATTTGTAGTGGATTGTGCACACGTGTTTGTTTTGGGTGTATATTTGTGAGTGTTCATGTGTGTGCGTCTGCATGTATCTGTGGGGGGGGGGGGGTGTAGCGGTTAGCGCGCTGTGCTACGAACCCAGCGACCCGAGTTCAATTCCCGCTCACGGCCAACACCCGTGACGATTATCTGAACCGGTCCTGGGCGTCCCCTAGGTCGACTCAGCCTCAAATGAGTACCTACCTAGTGCAGTGTTTAAATATCGCCACAAAGGAGACAAATGCAGTCGGGCATGGTGCTGGCCACCCACCCCCTCGTGTGCCATGCTGGCCTCCATAGGTCCTCGCTAACAGCACTTGCCCCAACAGTCTGTTAAAGCTATATGGGGGATCTCTGTATTTGTGTGTTTGTGAGAGTGCGCGTGTGTGGACGAGAATAACGGAAGACTTAATTAAGAGTGGTCCCGCCTGCCTCTACGTTCATGAAATTTACGCAATTCCATTCACGTAAAATCCATAGGGAATCGGAGAGAGGACAAAGTCTTGGTTTACGTAATATATGGAACTGCGCAATCCGTTGGATGCTCAGGCCCAAGGTTTTTAACTTGCTTTCTTCCAATTGCAACTGTACCAGACAATTTTATTTATTGACACAGATATCCAAACGGGTTGCCAGCCAGGCAGGCAGACGGGCGGGCCGCACCTGCCGGAACTTCTCGAGCTGTTTGTAGGTGTCGGGGTCGAGCTCCTGCGAGACATCCTTCATCCAGAGCAGCGCCCCGCGGTACTCGGTGCGCGCCTCCTCCATGCGCTGCATCGTGAGCCATGTGTCGGCCACGGCGCGGCAGCGGAACGTGTGCACGTCCTGGTAGAGCCGCGACAGCGGGTGGCGCAGGCTCAGCCTGAGGCGAAACATACGATGCCATATCAGAGATGACAATGTCATCTGTAATACTGAATGGTCATCAAGCAGTGGACAGAACGTGGACAATGGTGGCGATTGAACATGTTTGCGCACTCGCACACACGCGCAGCCACACGAATATCCCCCCCTGTAGACATGTAGACTGTTGGGGCAAATGCTATCAAGTCCAGAGCAGCATGAGGGGATGATGTCGCTAGCACCGTGCCCATCTGCCTTCGTCTCCCAAGTGCTGAAGCTTACATACCACACCAGATACTTAATTGAGACCGGGTCGACACAACACAACCATACTAACACATGCACGCTCACGCAAGACGCGCACTTCCGTCTGCCAAACCAGTTTAAAAAGGCAACAACAACCGGCGATCATGTGTTTATGTTTCCCCGAGAGAAAGGCAAGATATATCTTCCCTCGGTGACTTCAAGCGAAACCTTGAAGGTTCCAACCAAAAGCCTTTTTAATGTTTCAAAGCAACTGTGAACAGCACTGAAGCAGGAGCCAAAGCGCACAGACACCCACACAGCCTGGTCTCCCGTGGTCATAAAACACAACAGGCGGTCGGGCAGTCGCCCACCTCAGCTGGGAGGAGTAGCAGAGGTTCTTTCCAGTGGCGTGCATGATCTTCCCGGCTCGTGTCTTGTCCTGGTTCCCCTGCTGCTTGAGGAATCGGCCCATCTCATTCTCCTCCTGGGACAGAGCTGGCACACAGGAGGTGGTGCGTGCATTACCATACAAAGACAAAGAGCCCCCGTATAGCCTGAAAAGACTGTTGGGGCAAGTGCTGTTAGCGAGCACCGATAAAGGCCGGCACGGCACAAAAGGGGGTGGGTAGCCAAGCACCACGCCCGGCCACCTTTGGCTCTCTAGTGGCGATGTTGACACATTGCACCAGGTACTCATCTGAGGCTGAGTCGACCTAGGAGAGGCGCAGGACCATATCAGATAATCGTCACTGGTGTTGGCCGTGACCGAATCGAACTCGGGCACCCGGGTTCATAGCGCAGCATGCTAACCGCTACACCACCGCTCCCCACACACACACACCCCGCCTTGAGCACAGACATCTGGTAGGACGGGCCAAACAATGTCACGGCTGCTTCCTCGGCAAAGGCAAGGTTACAAATGGCATAGTAGTAGGAGTAGTATTGCTAAGCAGTTGCAGTTTACAGCCCTTTGTCAAACCAATGCTGGATGAAGGCATCTTCCCCAGGCCATGCGGGTCATGGAGATTGTTTGATCACACTTCACCACACAGACATGTCTCCTGGTCAGTTATAAAGGCCACCAGTGTGAACAACTCACCACACAGCCTCTTCTGGTAGCGCTCCACCACCTTCAGGAGGTCAAAACAAGTCCTCTGTATGGAGTGGAAGACCTGAAAATGAACGCACAATCTAATGCAGTCATGCAAACTGCCGCACCACTGAACCTAGAGCGGGGTCAAAGCAGTACGTTTTTTTGCTTTTAGCAGCAGTCATAATCCAGTCGATGACTACTCACGGAATTGTAGTCAGGCCAGTGGATTTCACGAAAGAATTATCTTAGTCTAATCGACTAAAGCAGTCTAACAATTACCCCACTCTCAATTATTAAATGTTGGTTTCAGGGGATTATAATTCCTCGCACCGAATTGTAAATAATTTTACACGCATACATTGCAACTTACCATGTTTAGTGTTTCTCAGTCCGATAACGTTAACTCAATTTATCGCAGCCTGCATCTTCATTCAGTCGTTAATTTCGTCTCGTCAAGTCACACTTTGGCAGACAGTGGCCGTGGGCAGTCGTCAAGCTTAACGATTTCTGTCCACTCATAGGCATCGCTGACTGAAGTAAAAAAACACTTTGTTGATGAATATGTTTGTCGCTACTTTTGTCAACTAAATTAACACAGGGCGAAAGGGTTGCTCAGACCTCCAGCCGGATGTAATTGGCGACAGCCGAAGTTTCCAGGCAAGCAAGGCGTGCTCGCTCGTGAGAGAACATGTACAACTGTGTGTGCCTATTTTATAAACGTCAGCGGACTCTTTTACGTGGCCTAGGTTGTAAACATGACCCACCCGCTATAATCGAAAAAATCAATGCTAATAACATACGGAACAGCCACCATAACTTTGCACACTGAGAGGAGAACAAGCAGGGCTTGCATTGAGACATATGAATGTATCAGGCCATGTACATAAGTACAAGTATCACCCTTTGTCAATCCACTGCTGGATGAAAGCCTCGCCATTCCATGTCTGTCATGGGGTTGTTTGCCCATACTTAATCACTCTCATCAGTGCTGGTTGGCGAATTGAGGGGGCACAGAGACACGGACACATAGAAGTGCAGGACAACAATTAATGTTGTTGTACTACCAACGATGTAGCCAATGTAACCGCACGACTTATACACCTGTAGTGTTGATACTTAAGTGATCCGAGGGTAAAAATACTCGCGCAATCTAAGGGTATACAGTGGTACCTTGGTATTACCATAAGAACCATGATTTACTGACTTTTAAAATACCATTTCATAAAAAGAAATTACATTTTACAACGAATCTCAATCTACGACTGAAGGCCTCCCTATGCCATATCGGCCAAAGGGGTTGTTTGTATGGATGTTGAACTTCTTTAGCACCGTAAGTAGTCAACCGTGCTAATCGGTGGTGCGGGGGAAGGACAGGAAACTAAACACACACAAAAAATTATCCATACTTCACCGAGCTGTCGGTGCGGGTTTGCGAAGTGGGAGGGGACCGATTCAGATATCAAGGACTGGTTCAGATATCACTCGCCACTGCATTATAATGGATCCAGCTAGACACAGGTCAGGCTGGATGTCATTTCTAGCCAAAGCAGTAGCAGGAGTGGTGGCGGCAGCAGTGTTCCTGCCACGTGGCTCGTGCAGCGGCAAGTTTGGCATGCCCCTGCGACTGACCCCGAGCTTGGAGTCGAGAGCTGCATCTCCGGCCACCACGTGCGCGTCCTCCTTCTTGCCCGTGGCGCGGATGAGCACTTGCTTCGTCCTCCAGAACTTCTGCTGCACCTTGTTCACCACCGAGCGGTCCTGGCTACGCACGTGCCTGTCGTAGGCCTCGCGCGAGTAACCCCTGTGGTCAACGAGGCAAGGCGGAGAGAAGGGGCGAGGGTGGCACAATCTCGTCATGGAGCATAAACCATCACGCAAACTCCGGTCATCTTCGCAGCGGCTTTTGGCTAACCATCGAACATAGACGGTCACTTCATCCCGAGCTTTCATATGCGTTTCTGAAACTGTTTGGAATGCTCTTCCTTCCAATATTAGGATGGCACTGAAACTATGCATTTTAAATCTACATTTAAAACTAATTTTGTGTTTAGTTTGTTGTCTTTCCCCCGCACCTCCAATTATCACAGTTGGCTAAGTACGATGCGAAATAAGTTCAACATATGTACAATGGTCGGTCATGCGGTGAATAAATACAAATTTACTGAAGATATGGACACCATCTGAAAGTTATACCAACGTGCCTCTCTGCACCATTAGGCATGGGGAGGCCTCCTTCATGGGCTCGTATCAGTATGACCGCAGGTGAAATCGTCAGCAGGATATGCTCTGTGTGTAGGTGAAACCTAAATCTATTGCCCGAGACAGTTTTTAGCAATAATTCACAGTCCTTTGTCAGTCCACTGCTGGATGAAGACCAGACGACATTGTGAAGGCCATGGCAGTTGTGCGACTACATTTCAGGAGACTAGTCAATGCAAGGACTAATTGCGACATCGCTCACCAATATTATAAGCCACGGTCAGGAATAACATTTAGAACGACACAGTGTGCTAAAATCAAGAGCACAGTGTGCTATATTTACAAATGGCTGAAACCGGTGACCTGAGCGATTTGCCCCAATTTTGGTAGTGGAAATGGAACAATGTCGCCAAATGTAGTGGCGAAAATTTTCATTCATCAACATGGGAATCTAGCCCTAGACCAGTAGTGGCATAGCATGGTTGGAATGGGCCCTTGGTGCAATGAAATTGGGTCCCCCGTCCAATTTCTCGTTTCTTCATAGCCCACCGCCATGGGCCCCGAAAGCCAGCGAGTCCCAGTGCAGTTACACCACCTGCACACTCGATCGCTATGCCACTGACCTGGTAGTTTTAATTTTTACAATGAGCACATACGATCAGGGCCATCTATAGGGGAGGGGGGGCGGGGCAAACCACACTATGCGGGCCACCCGACGCCTTTAAACTAAACCAGAAGTATTACATCTGACACCGTGACGTTGAGGCCCGTGGGCCCCCAAAGCGCGGGGCCCGGGGCAGTCACGGAGAGATGAAACAAACTCGTCTTCAAGTGCTCGGTGGATAGTTACACCGGAGGCGGTGGTTTGGGAAGGCCTCCGTGCAGCAGTGGATTGAACATGGCGGATGATGATGACTTACTGTTCCATTATGATGGATGTCCCGTGTCACTCGGCCGTTTTCTTGCGAGCGTTACCTAAATGCAAATCACCTGCAATGACACGAGGCGTTATTAATATTCAATCGTGTTCGCGAGTTAATAAGAAGCCCTTGCAGCATTATTCTGTCATCAATGTAACCAGTACGTCATCGTACAGAAGACACACGCAACATATGGTTAGATGTATTACCACATTAAAATACCCAGCAGCATCCGTGTTAAATCATATAACAGTACACCACGTGCCATACTTGATTTGCTAAAAACAACACTTAGTATTAATCGTTACAATATCTGTGCGTACGATAGTAATCAATGCACAGAGGGGTTGTTCCACCTCCACGACGTAGAAATAACGTAAATTATATTCTAGTCCATCACCTATATACCTTCTGGACCAATGTTTACCCGCAGAATTAGCTTAAGGATACACAAACATTGAACCGGTATCTACTGCCGGTCACGAATTCACGATCCATCAATCCACCACGACATCGCATCACACAGGCTGAGCTCCGCCTGTACCCCAGAAGCTATGTTCGTCGACATAGATCCTTTAAATGTTGTTTGTTTAGCTTTTAAGGGGTAAACACAAACACACATCGGCAGTTTGTGTTCCTTGACAAGACAGTATTGTATAGCATAGGGTGGCTATAGCAAAGACACACACTATTTTGTGATTATTGAAGTGTTTGTCTGTTCTTTAATAGTTACTATAATAAGATATTTATTCATGTCAATATAAAAACTCGTCGTCAAAGAAATTGTTTCAAAATGTAATTCTTATCTGGGCCCCAACAGGTGTAGTAAGTAAGCAAGGGCAGTGTGCGCCTCGTACCCACCCCTCTTCACTGGCTTGTACATTTATGCGATTAAGGGTTGCTGCCTGAAACGTCGGATAACTACAATAAATACGTTCATCACAAGGCCACACACACACACACTCTGTTGTCACTGCCGTACGTGCCGAGTTAAAGCGATCGCTACGTGGCAGCCCGACGGACACGTGTCGCGCCTCCACGTTCCCATGCCGGGGCCGTGTTTGCCGTGTTCGTCTGCCTCACCACATCACCATCGTCAGCAGCAGCAGCAGCAACAACAACAACAGCCACTAATCACAACACAACACTAACACAGCATCATCATACACAGGCACTGTCCACTGCTGGATGAAGGCCACTCCTCCCGGAAGAGCGAAACGCGTACACGAATCAGCAACGAGTCGATAACAATGCGTACACAAGCATGGGGCCCACGACCACAACCACGAACCAAAAGCCTCCCGCCGTGTTTGCGAAATTGCTTAAAGGTGCGCGACGCGGGGGTGGAGTAGTACAGTACAACAATGTCCTTCTCCTCCACCTGCTCCACGTCCAGCCGCTCGCTCTTCCGTCTGTCCAGCGGTGCTCCCACGAGGAGGATTCAGAGCGGAGAGGAGAGCTGAGGAGGCGAAGTGGCGCTGGTGAAGAGGGCGACTGAGATGTTGCCGCGCTGGGGACGGCGGAGGCTGCGCGGCTCGCCCGGGCCGCGCTCGCTCGCTCAGCTCG